GCAAATAATGAAAATAAAATAAATCTGAACCGTATGTTCATATTTGTTATAATCTGACATCTTTATAAATAATAACATATGTCTTAGAACTTTCTTTCTCACCCACAAAGCTGTGGTGCAGATTAAGGATAAGCCACTTCATCAGAGTCGACCCTGAAACCATAAGTCTGCTTTAACAAGAGAAACAGGGTGTGACGCCGGGTCGCCGGCCCTGAGCAGGTGGTCAGCGTTTGTGTTGACTCAGTCTGGGACTCCGTGATCACACTGTTCTGTTACTGAGGCCTGTGAAGGAACCAGGTGTAGACAGCTGTCCGTCACTTCAAAGATGTTTGGAGCAGCAGTGAGTGGAGTCGCAGCTCCTCGGAACGTGTTGCAGCTGAAATCCATCTCTGAAACCTCTGACACAAGAGGGTTAGCCCGGTGTCCAAATTTAGAGATGTTTACCAGTGCATACACTCAGGAACAATCTAGAACGTGTTACAGACTGGTTCAGGTCAGGACAGACTATGGCACCAGGGCAGGGTTTTCATTGGTCCTTGAACTATTATTATTATTATTATTGTTGTTGTTGTTGTTGTTGTTTATCTATATCATATGGAAAATACTGTAACTAGTTTGAACAACTGAACAATTAAAATGTTAATGTTTAAGATAATTTGATCATTATTCATTTTTAGTATTTTTACTTGCTAGCTTTTAGCCATTTTTGCTATATTTTAGGTTAGCTTTTATCATTTTCTTAGATATCCTTTAACTTTGGACAACGACAGGGCTCATTCTTAGCTTTATTTGCATTTTTTTGCTAATATTTAGCTATTTTGCATCAGATTTCTGTTATCTTTAGAGTTGTTGTTTCAGGCATAATCCTAATTCCCTTGGTAGACAAATACACTAAGGATTTAAGACTTAGTCTAATCATTTTTTTCTGAGCATTATTTATAGGGTGTGTTTGTAATTATAAAAATCAAGCTTTGGTTAAAGAACGTTGCAACAGGCTTTGAAAGTAAAAGATATGATGCAGCTGTATTTCTAATTTGATGTTTATTGCACAAACTTTGGCTGTTCCCATATAAAACAGGATTTACTTCCATTTGGATTTTTCTCATCTGATCTAACATTTAAATGCCAAACACAATGGCTTAAGCAGTAAAACATGTTAGACTAAATAATCAGAAAAAGTGAAGTCTTTGCTTAAAGTAACTGACAGACTAAGGTGTTTGTTGTTAGTCAGGGGCCAAAAAAAAAAAAACACTAAATGGCCCTGATGACAGCAACACAAAGACCTGTTAGCTGGAACAGCCCCTGTCTTCTCCATCACCAGTTTGCTGTATTGACCTCAGTAATGGTGATAATGGATGTGATTCACATCCAGCAGAAGATCAAACAGTAAAAGGAAACCTTTTGCAGCGTCCGCTCCCAAGTGCTAACGTTCGACCCATTAGATGTTCCTGAAGGGAGACGCTGCGTGGACCAAAGACGTGACTCCGTGAAAATATGGCATAATTTAGATTTTCTTGTTCTCCCTGTGACAATCTGTGAAATATTACAGACGTGTACCAGAGTCAGTCACTGGTCTGTCAAATGGATGAAGCTAATGTTAGGACCAGCTGTTCAAACATGATTTCTTCAAGATCAAACAAACAAAGGAACAGAACTTTTGTACAAATCTGACACCAACACAGCAACATTTACTGACAGTCTGTACACAAGTAAAAAAGTCAGTATCTCCCAGCTAACCACCGACCACTCCCCCTGATCTGGAAGTGGACCAATCCTTACTGTTGTTTACACCGTGCTAATGTGGTTAGAGGGTGAAGCTGTTCCAGTCATTTCTCATGCTCCAGGTTCTATGTGGTGTTTTTTTTTGTATCAGGACGTTTGACGTCACATTCGTTTATTCATTTCTGTTAGCTGTGCATCATATTGTAGTGAAGAGTGAATTCTTCAGACGGCTGTACGTTAACGTCCAAAAACACTGACACTAACGTAAACTCGCTTTAGGAAACTCGTTTACGTTAGAGGTTCCACTGAGGATCTGGAGAATGTAGTGCTGATCCTAACAACAGTAAATTCAGCAGAACCGCTCCAGTCGATTCTCCGAGTTACATGAAAAATATATCAAATATCCTGCTAATTAGACAAAAATAAACGATGACGTTGAGCTCACACCCAGTGGTTATCAACCTGTTACCCAGAAAGCTGTGCCTTTAAGATAACACTTCCATTTCATTGCATATTTAATAAAAAGCCAACCTAGAGAAGTATCAGTACTGTCTAACAGCCAAGACAAAGTACTTGTACTAGTATCTGCTGGTAAAACACCAGTATGGGACAACCTAGTTGGAACCTGTAACTATGGCTACATCATTTTAGCAATGAACAAAATAAACACCGACTGGCAGCTTCAGTTTGTCAGCCTGAAAACATCAGACTCACACGTCTCACTGTGACTACGTGTCACTGAAGAAAGCTCTGAAGTTCTGGTCTAACATTCCATCTCCTGCTCCCCTCTCCCTGATCCTCTCCTAGATTACTGGGCCACAGTTTTCAATGGTGTGGTGGAGCCACAACAAGGACGTGTATTGTGTGTGACAGACCGGGTTCTTCTGAAGAGCAGCGGTTGTTGAAACTAGGACTCGGAGCCTCAGCTGCAGCAGAGAGCGTCGACCTTTAAATTAAAGGAGGTCTAAAGTGGCTGCTCTTTGGCTTGGTGTGATTAGCTGATGTCACCGAAAATGAATTGTATCCTTATCAGGGGTCACCACTAGGGCTCAACAGCGGGTCTTTTTTTTTTTCTATCCTCGATGCCATTGCAGTCTGGAGACAGAGACTTGGCACTGACACAATTGTGCGCACACTCACACACACACTCACACACATGTGCATGTATTGAAAACAGAGCTTCTTCACAGATTCAGCAGCGCCAGAGTGGGAGTTAACCATCAGTAGCATGTGCATACCATAATGACTTCTAAAGATTTCAAGAAGAACAAAAACACGCATCAGAAAGATTCTGTCCAACACTCCAACAAGAAATGAACGATGAAGTCAACCCGACAACCAAAATGAGCTGCTGAATATAATTCATCTCCTCAAATCATCAATAAATAAAATAAAGACTGAAACTTATTTTCTTTGCTTATTGGCTTTAAAAGAAGTGCAACCACCAGGGGGCGACTCTGTTGGAATTTAAGCTACTTCGTGCTTGACTGAAATTATCAGTAAGTAGAAAAATGGTTGGTTTTGCAAGTCGTAAAATACCCAACACAGGTGACGTATGATTGGCTGCTAAGAGGCCAATAAGAGCCCTGTGATAGACAACTGAACCAAACCAAAAAGTTGCTGATCTTTTCATGTACAAGCTGGATGTAGGCTACGCCCATTTCTTATACACAGTCATCGGGTGTTCAAGAAGCTTTTTTCTGTCATAGAAAAGCAGAAGCTGAATAACGACAGAATGACGCATCTATTCAGGACATTCTAACAGCCATATAAAGACATTAGACAAAGTCTAATTTCACATCATGTTGCATCATGTTCACACACTACTGCTCCAGTGAGGCAGAACAACTGACACAATGAGAGACGGTGTCAAACGGGAGGAGGCTGTAAAGCCTTACGAGCAGCAGCGCAGGAAGTCAACTTGATGGAGGTGCAAAAAGAGCTGGAAAAGATCACAGACAATGGCAAGGCCGAAGTGAAACAGGAGATCGACACAAAACAAAGAGGTCAGGAAAAGGAGGCCCGGGTGGTCAGTGTCGAACGGGAATAAGCAAAGGTGAAGACGTGGAGGAGAGCGGGTGGGTGGGACAGAAGGGAAGTGGGGCTTACAAACAGGAAGGTTTGGGGGAGTGAGGTGGGAGGATAAGAGCTGACCTGAGGAAAGACAACCTGCAGAAGATGAATGGTGGTGTGAAGCAGGGCAGCTGAGCAGAGACCTGCCCTGCTCCCTCTCATAACACCGTTTATATGAAGCTGTCCTCACATGTCATCTGAGCATAAACATCTGACAACTTCTCCACCATCTGATAAAAAGTCACTCTGACCAACGTCCTTACACTTTTAAACTTTACTGGTCTTTTACTATCAAAAAAATAAACACACGTTAGCAGTAAGTTAGCAGTTAGCACTGACTTCACACAGAGCAGCTAAATACAAATATCACAGTATGCAGTGAGTGGTCCGTGTACTCCACACTGTGTGTTATGTTTCACCAGGCAGGAGTTGACAGAAAGGAGGGAGAGGACGCCTTCAGTACAACACACACACACACACACACACACACACACACAGGGCAGTGGTTAAAACAGTCAGAAAACTGTTTATAGTTGAAGTTCAGAATCACTCGACTGTTCCAACAACTTCATCTGTCATGAAATCTCACTTTCTCAACCTTTTGACCGAGGGTTTGCCAGGACACATTTATCCAGATTCCAGTGGGGGGAGCAATTAGGGAGGTGGTGTGGGGGGGCAGACACCCTGTGTTGTTGTGGGGGGGGGAGTTGCACGTCATTCATATCAGTACAAGGAGCAAATTTTAACGTCCAACGATTCATTCTTTTCAAACTTCTCAGAGTTCTTAAGTGTTTTTCCCAACAGCTCTGAAAACTTCACATCCCTTTCCAGTATACTCCAACTAAACACTGCAGAACATCCAAACAGAGAGCGTTTCCACTCAGCTGCACCTTCACTAGATGATTTACTTTTTTTTCCTCTGATCCTAGTTGTCAGCATCAGAATACAGTCTGTGTAGTATCACATCTGAGCCTGACCTTATCAGTTATGCACGAAGATGAATAACAGAGCAAGAAGAAAAAAGGGATTTCCATTCCGAGCATCTCTGGGAAAGCACTCTGAACAGTTCTGACTTTGTGGACTTTGTCATGTTTCTTGCAAACAAACGATCAACATTTTCAAACACACCACATGTGCCGCCGCAGCAGCAGCAGAGTTTATAGCACAGATACGGTCTCTCTTGATGGAGTTGGTAAAGTACTCACCTCCCCAGGTGTGACAGAGGAGCAGGAGTCCCAGGAGCAGACAGGCAGAGTCCCGTAGAGCCATGGTTGTGGGTCGGTGCAGCAGCAGTCTGTGCTTCTGTGCTGTGTGATATGTGTGAGTGAGTGAGTGAGCTGGGTGAGTGGAGGGAGTCAGTCAGGGTATGGTGACCAGACCTCCTCCTCCTCCTCCTGTTGGACAGAACGAAAGAGAGAGAGAGTGAGAGTTAGAGGGAGGGGGCGGTGTATCCCTCTGACAGGATCACACCGACAGACACTCAGTCTTCCACTGTAAAGAGTGTCTGTCGGTTCTAGTCCATGAAGAAACAGATCAGTTTCTAACGTGTGGTTCTAGCATAGACCGTTTGTAGGAACTGGGAAAAGCTGTGTTGTCTCAGTGTGTAGTGTTAAAAGCATTTAACATCACTCAGGCTCTGTTGTGGTGATGGGAAACACCCACAGCAGCGCCACATGGTGGCAAAAAAAGATTGACAATATAAAGTAGGGCTGTCCCAATCAATCACCTGTTTAGAATTTGATTTAGACAATGACTGATGCTGCTTTTTTGTTTCTTGTCATTGTTACTGTTTCATGTTCACATTGCTTTGATTTAAAATAAAAAAAAACACCTTAACTTTTGTATTTTTTGATAAAATTTTCAACACAACATAGACTATTTCAAATATATCCAAAATTCTTAACAGGTTTTTTGAATTAGCTAAGATTACTTTAAGATAACTTTTTTACAGTGTGCAGAATTGGAGAAACCCCCAGTGAACAGTGTGAGAGCAGGAGGTTGGAAGTCCGGTGCCAAGTACAGTGTGAAGTGGAGCTTTGTAGTTTTCTTTTTTTTATTATTACTGTAACAGAACATCGGTTTGCTCAGCAGGAGAATATTAACATATATGCTCCCAGCAGGAGACCATAAATGTGGAGAGGAGAACAGGAGAGGAGAACATCATCTGAGGAAGTGAACGTTTGTGTTGAACAAGGTGTGGCTGCGCACTCATTCATCATTTACCATTCACAGGAGGACATGTGGAGAATGGATCAGCTGAGTGTTTGAGGGATGACGTCAGGGCACGAGTTTGCAGGATATATACCCTGCCACGTGGGGGCATCAACATGGCAGGAAGCAGGCAGGACCCAAATGCAGTACTGGTGCAGGTAGTTTATTTGAAAGAGCAAAAACAACAAAAACTCACTTCTACACAAGAA